TCTGCAGAAGAGACGCGACGCTGCACGCAGACGCTTCAGACGGACTAGGCTTGCAGATGATTATCAAATATTCAGAGTGCTTCGTAACACGACTCAGATAAGGATCCGACAAGCGAAAGCGAACTACTTTCACGAAGCCCTTTCCTCAGCTCCTGATATCAAATCAAAATGGCTTCTACTTCGTAAGCTTTCCCTCTGTGAACCTTCTAGATCCCCTTCCTCAGTTTTCCCAATATCACCTGATGACCTAAACTCCCACTTTATATCGGTTTCCACCTCTTCTTTACCATCCCCTTCCGGCTTTTCTCCAGAGGTACCTTTTAACGACAATAATTTTTATTTTTCAGACATTTCTCCCACAGACCTTATTACCGTTATAATGAAATCCCGTTCCAATTCCGTAGGCCCAGATGGCATTCCTATCAAACTAATAAAATTATGTCTCCCTGAAATCCTCCCAGCACTCCTTTTCATCTACAATTTCTCCCTGCAGAATTCAATATTCCCGACCTCTTGGAAAAAAGCCATTGTCCTTCCTTTAAACAAAAAGCCTAATCCATCCTCTCCCGAAGATTTCCGCCCAATATCAATCCTTTCCAATCTTTCTAAACCACTAGAAAAGTTAGTGCAATCCCAAGTTTCCAACTACCTTGAACAATCCAACCAACTCGATCCTCTCCAATCTGGCTTCCGTCCTGGCTACTATACACAATCTGCTCTGATTAAAATTACTAGTGATATCCAGACTGCAGTAGATGACAAAAAACTAACCATACTTATACTGCTTGATTTCTCCAAAGCTTTCGATTCCATTATCCATTCCATCCTTTTCAACAAACTAAAATCATTATCCTTCTCCAATAGTTCCATCTCTTGGTTCCAGTCTTTCCTCTCACAACGAACCCAAGCAGTTTCCATACCTAATCAACCTCTATCTGCCTACCTTCCTTTATCCTCAGGAGTTGCACAGGGTTCAAGCATGTCTCCTCTTCTTTTCAGTTCTTATATTAATGACCTAAATGATTCAATTATCCATTGTCCCCACCACCTTTATGCCGAAGATTCTCAAATCTATTTATCCTTTTCTCCCACTGAGTTATTGGTGGCATTTGCCAAAATTCAAGAAGATTTAGATCGAATTAGTGCCTGGGCCAACTTAAATGGATTACGGCTAAATGCTGCCAAAACTCAGGCCATTCTCATTGGTTCCAAGCCCCTTCTTAGATCCCACACCAACTTTCCCTCACTCTATCTAAACAACCACCCTATCACCTTCTATCCCTTTGTTAAAAATTTAGGCTTTCTCATAGATCAAACCCTTTCCTAGAATCACCATATCTCTCATATATCCCGCCGTGCAATTTCTACCCTCAAACTATTCCATCACTTCCGCCATCTTCTACCCCAAAATACCCGTAGACTCCTAGTTTCCTCTCTCATCTTTCCCCACTTTGACTACAGCTGTGTGGTGTACGATGGCTTCTCGGTGGAACTGCGTGATAGACTCAAAAGACTTATGAATTGCTTCGTAAGATTTGTAATTGGAACCCCGAGACGCTCCCGTGTCTCCCACCACTACACTGAGTTAGTGTGGCTCTTCCCCTCCTTAACAAGACAATATTTCCTTGGCACTTTCCTTTATCAAATCATTACCGATCATCGTCCTTCTTATGCCTACAACCTTCTCCAATTTAAGTCCTCAATCCATTCACTCACTACAAGATCCCGACCCTCTGACCTATACATCCCTTCTCATAGATCTGCCTCATCCTTTATAGCCCGCTCTGTCAACTTTTGGAATTCCCTCCCGATCAAAATTCGACATGCCCCTTCCCTGTATACATTCAAAAACCTCCTATTCCAATTCCTGTTCCAAAAACAGTCTGATACCAGCTAACCATTAATATTATATATGTATTGTGTAGCAATCATATAATCATAACACTTGGTAAGAGATAGTACATGCATTTCCTACTATCGACGTAGGAATTTCAATACATACATTTTTTTTTTTTTTTTTATTTAATTATAAGTAACTGTTTATTTTTATATATATTCAAGTAAAGTTTTTTTTTTTTTTTTTTTTTTTTATGAAATGAACTCATTGTATCTCTTTTTCGTTCTTCATTTCTCAAAGTGTATGTTTATGTTGTTCAACCCTTAAATATAATTTTGTTCATAGTTCAAGTGATTCGTTCATAGTTTTAATTGTTTTGTTCATAATTTTAAATGCTCTGTACATAGTTTTATCAGTATTGTATATAGCTTGCGCACCTAAGGTTTTCTTTACTTTTTATTTTATTTTATCAATTTTATTTATTGTTTCAACATTCAGGCGAGTAATATTCTATTATTTTGTACATTATTGTTATTCTGAAGGGACTTAGTCCCAGAATAAAGTTTTTTTTTCTATCTATCTATCTTTCTAAAACATGGTTACATTTTATCATTTTGGGAGGTAGCTTCAGCCCGAAAGCTCTCCCCTCCCCGGCGTGGTCTAAAGCAGACATCTTAGTTTTTTATGCTCGAAAACAATCTAGCAGAGCTATCTAAACTTTTATTTTTCGAAAGTATTGTAAATTCAGTTATAGACTTATAAGAAGATTATCATCTGAAGTGAAAAGAGTACCTGAAGTAGTGCATAGCTATTCTTTTAAATCTAGTTCCGTAATTGAAATTGCAAAATTTTAAAATGAAAATTGTTTATAATGGATGCATATTATTTAACAAAACTAAGAAATTAAATATAATCCTCTTATGTACATATCAGTTATCTTTGAAATGATTTTTGAATATATCGATAGCTAATTTTAAATTCGGCTGTATTCCCACCTCGCTCCCTGAACGAGAGTTTTGTACTTACTGGGTATTGTCCGTGTGAATAGAATTGTGAATTCAAATTTTATTAGTTTCTTAATTAATTATTTAGAGGAATTATTTAGGATTGTATAGGTATTTATTTAGTTTTAATTACTTTACAGTTATAATGTCTATTAATATGGTATTTCTTTTCTGAAAAGATGTATTGTTTACTTTGTGTACTGTTCCAAATAAATATGTTGGATCGGCTTTTGTCTAATAGTTATTGCACATATTTGTACTAATCATGCTACTTTTCCGGCAAAATCAAGCTTGTAAGCCCATACTAAGCCTGAGCAATCTTTTTCTTTCAAATGTAGTTTTGCTATTTTCTCGTTTGTATTGAAGTAAGGATTTAAATGTATATATATTTTTTTAAATGCCTTTTTAAAGTGCATAATTCACTCTTGTCATCCTCCATATTTTTTTAGAACTTCAAATTAATTTGAAAAAAAAATGTATTTGGGGTAAAACTTAAAACAGGCATAAAATTCCATTTTTCATTGGTTATATTTGGTTTATTTTTTATCTTTCAACATAATATTTTCTGCCCCAAAAGACTTTAGCTCAAATGCTGCAATCATAGTGCAGATATTGTGGGTTCATATTTTAATTTGTAATTGATTTTGGAAGTTTTGGCTACTGTACACATAACAGCAACAATATGTTAATAGTTGAGCAAATCATGCTACTAGTGAGTGATAGAAAAATGCGTTGTGTTGTATCAAATTTATAAATCTTTGAGATTGCATGGTTTGCTGTTTTTGGTATAAATTTTTATTGCATTAAATTGCACTATTTTGTACTAGATTATATAATATAAATATATATGTTTGTGTAAATACTTCATTTTTATTTTACTGTATTTTCCATGTTAAATTTATAACTTAAGATATAAAAATATGAGAAAGGTAAATAATCCTGTGACTAGCAATGGTTCAAATTTAATGTTACAAATGGAAGAAATAAACACCAATGGGGAATATGCTTGGATTAGAACTTGTCTAAAGTATTGGATAACAATAAAAAACTCAGATCAGAATATGCGCCAAGAAAAGATTGACCATAAAAGCTCAAAACCTCATTTTCCAAGAAAAAATATGCTTACAGAATTTTGCAGGGCGGTTGTTGACAATCTGTTTCAGGAAAATAAAGTTTGGAGTATAGGAAGAGGAAGTTATGGCTAGAAAATGAAATGAGGAAGGTAAAAATAGAAAAGGAAATGAGGAAGTTAAAGATAGAAAAAAGGAAGTTAGTCTTTAAAGAGGAGTTAAGGCTAGGTTAAAGGCGAGAAATGTTTTTACTTGCGAAACTACTCAGCTCATGGTTATTGTCCCAAAACTTGAAAGTAGAATTTACAAAACGATTATTCTTTCTATGGTTCTCTTAGGATATTTACATCAACATATTAAGATTTTTGAAAATCAAGTAATGCATAGAATATTTGGTCCAAAGAATGATTAGTCAATCAGAGACACGGGCGGATCTACGGGGGGGGGAGGGTGGCTTTCGGGCTGAAGCCCCCCCCAAAATGGTAAAATATAACCATGTTTTATCAAAAAAAGTATCTCTTAAAGTATTATTGTTCGTGTAATTACATTTAAAAGGGCTTTAGGGATCACTTAAACACCATTTCATATAGGTAGTTAGTTTCTTTTTTTTTTTCCAAAGTAATTATCGTTATTTTTATGAAAAAAACAACTTTCGGGCTTAAGCCCCCCCAAAAAATAAATCCTGGATCCGCTAGTGATCAGAGAACTAAGGCAGTTACACAATCCTGAATTGCTCGAACTGTAACTGGTAAATATAATTGTGATCATTATGTTGAGGCTAATAAAATGCCTAAAAAATTGAAATGCTCTGTGCTAACTGCTAGACCGAAGTGAAGGTGGGATGATCTAGGATAATCTGCCAGCCTTGGGTTTGAATGGCATAGGTAGATGAACTCCGATTGGTGGTATTGGCATCGAACCTTCGGGTTTTCTAAACCTTATCATTATTATTATTTTATCGGAATTTAAAAAAAAAAGTCTTGTTTTTTCTAGAAGTTTAATTGGTATTTTTTGTAATTGATAATGCTTAGTTTATTTTATTTTATTACTAAATGTCTGATTAATTAAAAATATAAATTTTAGGATAAGATGGAAGCATATTCTAGCCTTGGAAAAGACCGTGTCTCTGTACTTCTATCAAATATTGTTCAAACTAAAATGTCATTAGCAGTAGGTTTTGCATCGCGAGCTTCCATTTATGATGCAGTGCTAACTGCATATGAATTATCTACTGCTCAGTGTATTGTTTTGGCATTACTACATGGATTAGTCAATAATGATGTCTCTATCTGCTCACTTTTAGGAACCTTATCTTCTAGTAAGTATTATGTTTGTTTTTTTTAAATCATTTGTTACTGTCTTTAATTTAGAAAAATTGTTTCTGCAACAAACTTGCTTGATGCTCAGTGGGGACGGTAGGGTTCACAAAAAATAAATAAAAATAATAATAATTGAGAGTCAATTAAATATTAATAACCTATCTAACAAGTGCCACGCTATTTAATTTGAATTTGGAAAATAGCAGAAACCAAAAAAAAAATAAAATTATTAAAAAAAAAAAAGATTTGGACGCAAAGTGAGCTACGAACTCGGAATCTTTGGGTTTAAAGACATATGTTAATTAACCTCATAACCTATCGAACCTTCTCACTCGGTTAATATTGATTTTCACTAATCCCCCGATAGGGTTTTACAATTCCTTATTAAACCTTAAAAAAAAAATAATTTAATATTCATAAAAAGGGAAAACAAGCAGAAGAAAATAAAACTGGCTATTATTAATACTAATGATGTATTTACTTATTTCTATTAATTTAAATAACAGTTACAGGAAATGAAAATTATGAACAAGAAATTAGATTTATAAGAAAGCAAAGAAAATACAATCAACTTTAATTATCTAAGAAAAGAATATAAAATCATTATAGAACTAAACATTAACTTAGACTATACAATAAACCAATTACAAATATTTAGAAAAAAAAAATTGATAGAAAAAAACTTATATGTACATATTTACAATATCTCACTGGTTGAACTCTGTCCAATTGGCACATCGAGTTATCTGAGGAAGCGGGAACTTATTCGAGCTAGTGGTGTCAGTGTCTCCCCAATCCATCTCCTCAAGCTTTGAAAATGTTTATTCACCAACTTGTAAAATCAATCGGCACTCGTCGCTGATAATCATAGGTTCTTGGAGAGGAAAAGAAAAATCTGTTGTGCACGGTAAAACTAAAATATTTCACACACAAAGAATTATCAAGAGATTTGTTTATATAATCAGTGCATTCTTAGTAATAAGGTTACGTTGTTTACTAATAATTTTGTTAATTAGTGTCAATTGAACTATGTATTAACTATTGAAATAAATAAACAGCCGTAATGTACTGATCTAAACCACTAGGCTTGAATAAGAATTATAATCTATCTTTATAATATAAACAATAGCTTTTCACCATGACAATATCTTTTCTGACTCTCAGGAGTGATGAATTTTGTTGATGAATGAGGTATCAAACGAAAGGGAGGGTATTAAATGAAGATGTGACGAATCATAGCTGTTCCTTCACTAAACAATATATTTTCCGAATTATTTTCACTGGCCAAATAATCCCAAAATTATAAATTATTAATAACAATATGTAAATAAATTGTTAAATTGAAAAGCTTGAGAATATATTTTGTGCAATGATAATTCAAGTATTCTTTTAAAAATATATGTATAATTTATTTTGTAATTAATTTAGTGATATAGGTTATATTATTGGATTTGCATCAAATGAATGTTGCAAAGTTCCTAATGTTAAAAAAAAAAGTTATATCTTTTTATTATCTTGCGAAGCACGATGAAAATTTTATATGGAATAGAGCAATTAGAGTCTGATTTCTAAATTGTGAATTAAGTTTAATTAGGAGTTGGTGTTGTTTCTCAGCTTTTAACGGTTGAAACCATTCTTTTTAGGTTGAAGAAATGAAACAGTTTCTGTTTTTTAAATATTTTCATTTTAAAGTTAGATCATTAATGACAAGCATAGTTTTTCATTTTTAATATACTAGCTAGCTTTTAATACGGTTTCATTAACAATTAAGAGGACTGTGAAATCTTTTGAATAATTTTTTTGACATTCACATCATTTTTAAGATATTTTATCATGGTTAAGGCAATAATACTTCTAATTCCCTTCAAATCCCTTTAATCACATTTATTATCTCTAACGTTATGGGACAATTTTCCCATCATCAGAGCAATCCTTATCTTCACTGATACTATGCACATTTTAAATAAACTATTTTTACAGTACCAATCTACTTAACCTATTGTACAATTATTTACTTTGCTTTTTTGATGTGGCACCATTTGTCAAAAATTCAAATATTTGTCACATTCATTTTATATTTTTTCAGTGTTACACATCCTTTCTTATTCATTGTTACACTAACCAACATCTGGCTATCTTCAGTTTCATTACTGTACTTTGTACCTGTCCACTTATTTCTTATTATGGCTGTTGGTTGTTGTAATTGGTTATGTCTGTCTCATTGAAAAACTGTGTAATAAATTGTTGTTTAGGCTTTTTTTGCTGTCCACTTATTTCTTATTATGGCTGTTGGTTGTGTTTTTTTTGTCTGTTGTTGTTTTTTTAATTTCAATATTAGATATTATGTCCGAATAGTCTATACCTAAGTGTTTTTTATCTGTTTTATAGTTTACTGTTCTATTATTATTTTTTGTTATATGTATGGCTTCCAGCAGTTTCCTATTGTTTGTTTTTGGTTCTATTACTAATATTTGTGGGGTTTTTAAGTCAAATGTATGTAGTGATTTAATACTATGGTTTGCTAGGGCTGTTATGTTAATGTTTTTACTATTTTTGCAGTTTGATATATGTTGTGATATTCTGGTTTTTAGTTGTTTTTTTTTATGTTTCGCCTATCTATTATATATATAATAATATATATATATATATTTGTTGACAATGTTGGCAGTCTAACTTATAAATAACATTTTTCTTGTCCAGTGCTTCTATTTTGTCTTTTGTGTTTGTCAAGTATTTACCTAATTGTTTGTCATTATATATACCGAACTGAATTTCCGGTAGGTCATAGTTCATGAATACTTTTTTGATTTGTTTTGTAAGTTTTGTTATGTATGTCATTTTGTTAAAAATTCTTTTATTGTATATTTTGTTTATTTGTGGATTATTGTTTTGGATGTTGTCATTGGTTATGTCTGTCTCATTGAAAAACTGTGTAATAAATTATTGTTTAGGCTTTTTTTGTTGTCCGATATTATTTATTGGTGTTTTTGGTATTTCTTGTTTTTTGTTTTTGTTCCAATTTTTTATGTGTAAGATATTTTAGATTCATAGTAGGAAATTGTTCTTAGAAATTTTGAAAACAATACAACTTGGATTTTTCTGGTTGTTTGATGTAGAGCAAGGTCCTCCAAACTACCCACCGTGTGCACTCTCAGTCTGGCCTGCCGTAGTTTATTATGGTTGTATTGTAAAATTTTCAATCTTACTAAATCATACAAAATAATATCAAATGTTTTCATTCAATGATTAATTAGGAAACAAAATAACTGGCATATATAATAGAACTGAATATTGTAACTATAATTATTGAAAAAAGCGTGTTGTTTAGATGGGGTGCCTTGTTCTTAACTCTTGATACTTTTTGGAAGATTCAGTGCGTCCCTTTGGCTAACAAGTTTGGTAACTCCTATTCTAAAAGAGTACGATCATATTAGAAGAAAATGTTAATTATATTTTTTATTAACTTAAGATTACATTTTTATATTGAAATAATTTCTTATTTGTTATTGTTTGTAATTCCTTTTTTTTTTTTTTTTTTTGAAAAATAAAATAAAAATTTATTGGAAAAATGGGTATTTTTCATATTAAATACTATCAGTTCTTGATTCGATTTGATTATTTTTACTGATTATATTTTTATTCCTTATTTCATCATCATCATCATGTATGGCACGACATCCCGTTACCGAGACTGGGCCTCCTCCAAGAGCCTCCACCAGTTGGCTCTGTCTTCTGCTGCAGCTCTCCAGTTCCGTACACCAAGCAGGGTTCTCGCATCATTGGCCACGTTGTCCAACCATCTCGTCCTCGGCCTTCCTACCCGTCTTACGAGATGCAGCTCCTCCATCATTATTTTCTTTGGTATTTCAACGGTGCTCATTGTGGCCACATGCCCTGCCCACCTTAGTCTGGCCAGTTTAATATAGGTGACTACGTCGATGTCTGTATAGAGAGAACTGAGCTCCCTATTTTTTCTTTTCCTCCAGACATCACCCTCCTTTACTGGACCATAAATCCTTCTGAGGACTCCTCGCTCAAACACACTCAGCTTCATCTCATCGTTTTTGGTCATCGTCCAAGCCTCTGAGCCATATGTCATATGTCAAAACAGGCCGAAACAAGGGTCTTGTATATGATCAGCTTGGTCTTCTTTGAGAGGTACCTACTTCTTAAGTGTCGGCCAAGTCCAAAGACACATCTATTGGCAGCCGTGATCCTCCTTTGTATTTCTTGAGCCATGTCATTTTTGTTATTAATTTCAGACCCAAGGTATATAAAACTTTTCACTCTCTCAAACTTAAAAGAACCTATCTCAAATGGAGAGTTCAGATCCACCTCACCACCTTATTCCTTATTTAACAACCTTATTTTTTAATTATTTTTTTTTATCTTTAGATGTTCAGCATCTTCGATCTTCTTATTTGAAAGTTTGGCTGAAAGAAGACTTCAAATTTGATCAGGAGGAAATTTATCGTGCTTTTTCAACAGCTGCTCACTTTATTAATGCTGGTCTCATCAATGTTCCCTGCCATGTACTGCAGATACTCGCCTCAATTGTCGATCTGTACAACGTTGTCAATACATGTAAAGAGCAAGGTGATAAGGATACATTGAACTTGTTGGAATCTCTTGGATTGGACATAGGAAACAAGAGCTCATCTGAGGATGATAGCCCAGCAGCTACAGCAATAGCTGAAGTTGTAGGTATTTTGCAATTTACTTACTTAACTGTTGAACTGTACATTATGCTGTACTATCTTGTATTCATAGGGATAGTTTTAATTCGAATTAATTCTACTTGAATCTATTGAGTTCTTGATGGTAATTGTATGTATTATTGTGTTGGCAATTTTTTTTCATTTCATGTTTTTTATCATAAAGCATGTAGTGAATCATTCAGGATCAGCCGGCATGACATATAGACTGATGATTGACAATCTGATTGATTTCAAGAAATATGAGCTTTTATCACGAGAAGTGGCTAGTCTTTTTTATACATGGTCCCAGAACTAGTTTATATTCCTGTCAGTTAAAATAAACAATTTTTCATAAGTATACTTTCATCTTCAAACTTATAATCTTTATGATAATATTAAAATGAACAATAAATAATAAAAATGGAAGACTGTCTCTTTTTAATTATTAACAAAATTAATCATGAACTTTAGTGTATGATATTTTGTCAGTAGTTTTCTTTTCTTTTCAAACATATACTGATTATTTAAGCAATATTTTTTGTTGAATTGATAAAAAAAAATTTTAAAAAAGTTATATTTTTTAACTTTTATCAAAAAGAACTTTTCCATTAAGGAATAATTTCGGTACCCGATCCGTTTTGCTACTTGAAAGATGGTGGCCAGTATTAAAATTACTCAAAGCACACAATTCCCAGATTCCCGATAAATGCAGAACGTAGCTGAGTATTGACAAACCTTTTTACATCCAATAATAGTGTGATGTGTTGTTCAAGTTAAATTCCTACCTTCCCAATGATGAAAATGTTTTGCAGCATTGTATACAATCTAAGTGTGCTTCATCTTCAGAAATATACAATAATGAAAATATCTTCTGCTAAAATACAAGTTGATATAGCTTGTTTGTCTTTGACATAAAATGGTGAAATACGTAATTAAAATTGTATTGAAATCCCTTCTCTTACTGATAGATATGGAAAAAACAGTTATAATAATAAATATCTTTGGAAAAAAATTTGAATTGTAGAATAATAGCATACTGCTATGTTCCTGGCTTCGCGTTTCTACGGTGAGTTGGGGGTTCCAGGAACCGCATTTATTTGTATTTATATGTATTTAATATTTATATTTGTATTTATATCGGTTCCAGAAGGGAACCGATCAACAGAAAAATATATTAATTATGTATTTAAATGTTACATACCACAGACCTCCTACTGTAGTATCCTAGATTGAAATATATAATTTTTATTGAATTTCTTTTCTAAAGGTGTCTTGTTTATAAATTTACTATTTGTTTCTATAACTAATTGGTGGCATGCAAGGTAGATTGCAAAATTACTAAGATGATTTAATAACTACTATATTTATAAACTTTAACAAAATATTTATGTACAATAATTATAAGAGGATCATATTAGAGGAGAATGCTATGTTTGGATATGCCTGATTAAAGTTACTTTGATCTATTTTCTATTAATGATTTATGGTTGCCTACACGAGTTTACATATAGATAACTAAATGAACGTTACCACTTTTCTGCTTCTTCATGGTGAGGGGGGTTGTCGGTGTCTCTAGCTGTCATCTCATAGCCGCCTCCCTGAACCTCTTTCTTCCTCCAAGTATCAACTGTCCTAGCCTGGCTCCCAGCTTGAAGTGCCTTAGCTTTATTCCCAGCTTCAAGTATCCAGTCCCAGTCCTCTATTTCCAACCTTTCTTCATCCCCCTCTCTTTTGGTAGTCTTCTCTGATTGGCTGAATGTTCCTAGCCTAAGGGATGATCTCCCCCAGGCCAAGATATTCCAGCAGGTATATTTTAGGTCTTTCTGGTGGAAGGTGTTAATGTTTCCTTGGATCCTGTTTAAACACTCAGGCATGAGACTGTTGTTGGTCTTTAAGTGTTACTTCGCCCCTGTAAGAGCAGTGTCGGTCTTTTGGGGTTCTTAAATGTTTTCTTAACACTTAAAAAAGGTTGCTAGGGGGTCTCAGGTACCCCAACCGCCCAGGTGTTAGCAATTATGATTTTTATTTATTTATACCTTGGAAATACTTAAATAAATTCCAGAGGCGGTCTTTAGAATACATAGCAATACAGAGAAGATTGATTACTGTGGAAATTCATTGTGTTATAAGTATATTCGTAGTTAATAATCTGATTATCATATAAATTATAATCATATTTCAGTATTTTAACTACTATTATTATTTTTAAACTTGGACTGTTATAATTTTTTGAAGTATACTGGTCAAAGTATACATGATTTAAAAAAAATCTGGTGCGTTGCGCGCATCAAACTACTTTCACTTACCACCCTCTTTTTAGCAGGAATGAGTATTTTCAGATAAAGGGGAAGTGAAAGTAAAAATTACAAACACTATATTGATTCATATTTCATTGTGGATATTTTCATTTGTTTAGGTACCCTTATATATAAAATTTTTAATATTTATATCCCTGTAATCTATACAATTAAATATTTAAAAAATACTAACAAAATTATTTAAGAAAACCGCATATGTATATGGTACATAATATTGTTGGTTTAACTATTTTTTATATTAGAGATCAATGTAAAATGGTTAATTGTTTCAAGAAAAATAAATAAAAGGTACTTTAAAGGAAGCTAATATTGAAAATTAGCCATTTAAGCCCTGTTAGAAAACATCAATAAGAATAAAACCTACATAATATTAAAAACTAATTAATTTTACACTGATATACCGAACTTGATCAAAATCGTTGGAGCCGTTTTCGAGTAAATCATAAAAATGTGTTTCATCGAAGATATAAAATGCCATTTCTAGTTAGCCTATTTTGACAAAAAAATTTCTGTAACATCTGAAGTATATACATACCTCAAATGCGCAATTTCATTTCCATACGGCTTTTCGTTTATGAGCTAGACTCGTCACATACACATAGACAAACGCGCACACACATACACAAACACACACACAGACCATTTTGCAGGACTTGGTTATTTAGACTCAGGAAACCTCAAAACATGTATTTCCGTTGAAAACTCAGATTCAAAAATTTTCATGATCGCATTACTGTCCCTTACTGTATATTTCATATATAGGTAAGTGAAAGCAAAAAATCATCGAAGTAACACATTTTTACGATTTTCTCAAAAATGCCTCTAATGATTTTGATTAAACTCGGTAAGTGGTCTTTAATATCAGTTAGGTCTTATCCATATTGATGTCGTCTTACAGGATTTAAATGCCCAATAATCAATGTGTCTTCCTCTAAAATACCTTTAATTTGAAGAGAAGAATAGTTGAAGAACATAGAGAAAAACTAAGAGATAAATAAGAATAATCGTTACAATCATTCCATGATTCATTCATCATTCCACACTTTGTAACGGTTATTATTATTTATCTCTTAGTTCTTAGTCATTATTCTAACAATTTCATTTTACTTTATATTTATTTATTTTTTTTTATACCATCACTACTTATGTTTCTCATACCTTGTTATCTGGTTATTTTCTTAGCCCTGATAAAGGCCTGAACTTCAGGTCGAAACATCGGCATATATAAAAATAAATATTATCATTTATTTTTGCCTTCTTTTGGAATGACCACCCCAACTATTCTTCTCTTCATTATCCACGACAGTCAACCATTTACCAATTATGTACCTTTAATTTGGTTTATTTAAAGAAACTAACTGTCTTTCATTGATACGAGTTATGAAAAAAGGCCTAAATATAACTTTTGTAAGAATTTGGTAATTGAATAAAGGAAAAAAAAAGAAAAATGCTTATCCAGGTCAAAAATGGATCTCTGGAAATAATTGTCAGAAGACGTATGCATAATATATTGTTGGGAAGCTAAGAATTTTAGAAAAAATAAGATCGGATAATGAAGTTGTAGAAAGTAATGGAGAGTGATGAATAAAATATAAATAATAATTTCTGAAGACTAACATTATTTAAGGTATATCACATGTTTTAAGGAAATTAAATGAAATTTTCTTAATAAATGTAAACTTTTAAAAAAATTAAAGTTTAAAAAAGTATTTAAAATCCAACGAATCAAGGCAATGCCATTGTTTAAAATACTATTTCATTGTCCTTGTGTGAAAGAAGAAGTGAAATGTAAAAATATTTCATGGATGTGTATATGTTTATAACCTTAGATAAATTTACTGTAGTTTAATAACTCCAACTTTTTTTTTTTTTTTTTTTTTCATGTAACCTGTAATGGTCATGTAACCTTTTTAAAAATTAAATTAGTGAATAATTTCATGAATTTCCGCTTTGTGAATTCCCAACATTATCCAGTTACAGTTAGTGTGACAACTTGTGACCTATCTATGGCAGGCAATGAACATCTCATAATTTCATTTTACAATGAAAAATAAGTTTAATAAGTAATAGTTGTACAATCCATAATCATTTATATGTTAAGTATACAAATGTACTTTCAAATCTCTCTAGGTATATATGAGCTTTTCTGTTGACAGAATGACTAACTCCAATTTCAACATTTTTTGTTATTAATTTTAATGATGTTTCTAGTGGGGAAAGTTATACCTTTATTCACACTTCTATATTTCAACAATGCAATTGACTACTCTGGAATCAACTTACTCACTGTCTGTACAGATATTATAAATTTTCCAACTAGAATATCACTAAAATGACATTATTCAAAAATGTTGAAATTGGATTTAGCCATTCTTTCAACTGAAAGACACATATAGCTCAGAGACTGGAGTTATGTGGTTTAAAAAAACAGGTGAACCAACAAGGTTTTTATTGCCTACTGTCGATATAATAAATAGGGTTCTTGTTATTTTAATGGTCTTAATAATGTATTAGCTGTAACCTTTAAGTTTTAGCACTGTTTAAAATACACTTTAAACATTTTATAATAGCCCATGATTGCCAGAAAATAATTTCTATTTAAAGTAAAGGGGTAAGTGAAAGTTGTATGTTGCGTGCACCAGATTTTTTTCTCAATGTTTTATTTGAAATGAAAATGGATGAAAATTAATATAATATTTCGGTTCGGTTTGAGGTATGTTGTTTTCCTTTCAAACAAAGCAAATTATTACTTAGTGAAATTTGTCCTCTGAATTTGAGATGGGAAAATTGGAAGAAATATAAAAATAAAGTCAAGTCACCTACGGTTGTTGATTCGGAGAACAAAACTAAGCTCTATAGCAGATTCATTGCTCAAAGTTCCCTCATGTTCATCCATAAAGATGAGCCTGAATTTCTTATAATTTTCATAGCTTGGACTGAGAAGGAATTCTCAAAATTCATTGTAGTTTGGTTTTGAACTTCTTCTTTTTCTTTTTTTTAAATATATATATTTTAAATTTTGTACCATTTACTTTTTTACACACTAAATTGATTTTCTAAGAAGCAGTGGAACTATTGAAAAATTGGTGACTATCATTTCAATAATTCAGTTCACGCTGTTATTTATTTCTTAAAGGAAGAGAACATTATGGTGACTCAATCTGGCATAATATTCAGTGAATAATTTTTTCCTAAAATGATTGGTGATTAACTAGAACTATCATGAGTGATAATGCTCAAACACGCTTTCTCTTCATTAATCATATTAATAATTGATTGACATTGTGGCAGTTGTTTAATGACAATGGCATCAATCTGACTGATACGAATAGAGATCTCCCTGATTGAAGCCACAAACGTTTTTACAGTCTTAAGACTGTCATCTTTGACTGACCCAGTAGTGTCTGATTATAACTAATTTTAATTTTTATGTGATAGTTGAGTACAATATCTTGCTATAATATTTATCCATTTGCACATCATCTTTTCAGTTATTAACTACTGATTAGAGGCTAGCAATTATTTTACTTAAGTATTCAATATGTTTTCTTATTCTTAACACTTTTATCAGTAAAATTATAACATGATGTAGGTGAGGGAAGAAAATGTGGACAGTAGTCAGCCTGCAGAAGTAGAAATCGCAGAGGAAGACAATGCCTCATCTTCACAGGTGAAAGCTTACTAACATTTACATTTAATTGTTTTTAAATAAATTAACAATTTATCTGCAATGTTTTTACTATCTAAAGTAAATTAATTTTATTTCATACTTTTTTGATTAGATTTAACTACTAGGACCTTGTAAACATGAAGAAAATCTATCTAAAAAGTTTGCTTATTAAATTACTTTCTTACCCATTTCAAGGTCTCCTGAAGAAGTTCTACAATCAAACTTCCACTGTACAAATTGTTGTTTAATATCAATTTCATCAAAATCCATTTAACAATTAAAATTATTATAAATAACTATTAAGAGTATAATAACTGTGAAATGTTGTAAGCATTAAACATATAGAAAGTTTAGTCGAATTTGTTTTATTGTTGAATGAAGTTATGAGATTTTAGACTATGTTAAAAAAATTTTATATCTAGCTCAAACAACTTTATTTTTGTAATTTAAGGTTATATTTATGTCTAAACGCATGATCACTGAATCTCATATTAATAATTACTAGTGATTAGTGCATTAACTGGTGTATCCATTCTATAAAAGATCCAAATATTCTATGTATTGTTTAAAAAATTTTTATATTGACAAAAATTCAAATTTCAAAAAAATTAAAATCATCAATGTAGTATAAGACTGTAACCTCTATTTATAAATTATAATATAATCGATTACATATGTTTATTAGATAAAGACAAGACAGATGGTGTATTTTGTAATAAATAATAAAGCACACCTACGTTTGTTCTAAAAGTATTTTTATTAATTAATCATACATAGTACATGGTGTCAGGTGAAATACCTACAAATTGAAAATGAATAATTCGAATTTGCGGCTACAATCTCTTCAATTTGACAAGAACATTGCAACGAAGTGGACAAAATGGAAACAGGCCTTCATTCTCTATTTAAAGGCTATAGAGAAGTATAAATCAACAGACGAGGAACTGAAAATAGCTCTTCTATTAACACAAATGGGTGAGGAAGCCATAGAAATACATTCTACATTCCAAGGTAAGAAAGATACTTTAGAAGCTGTTTTAAAATTATTTGATGAGTATTGCATTCCTAAAGTAAATTTGGCTATGGAGTCCTTTAAATTCAATAAGATAAAACATTCCCCAGGACAAACATTTGATAATTATTTAACTGAGCTAAAAATTCAAGCACTCAACTGCAATTTCGTGTGCTCTAAAGCCGATTGTAAAACTTCATTCGCGGATAGAATGCTAATTGACATATAGTGCGTAATCATAATGACCCAGAAGTACAAAAAGTATTGATTAAGGAGACCAAAACGCTAACATTGCAGGAGGTGACGTAAATTTGTCGAGCAGCAGAAATAAGTCAATCTTATAGCAAGGAAATGGTTGGAGAAGGCACGCTAGGTGATGTTAATGTTAACTATACCAATATGGTTAATAAAAACAAACCTTTTACATCCAGACGTACTAAGCCTGATAAAGAGACTGAATATAAATGTAAAAAATGCCATACCACTCACGGACCTAGAGATTGCCCAGCATTTGGTAAAAAATGTTTTTTATGTGGGAGGTTAGGTCATTTTAAAATCGGGTGCATCTCACGAAAAAAGAGAACTGCAGTTAATGAGGTTGAAGAAGACTCATCGTCCGAGTCAATGTTTGATTGTAACGTTATTACTGATGTGAATGCTATTAAGTCAGATCTATGGAAGGAATATATTTATATTAATAATGTACCCGTACTTTTTAAGCTGGATATGGCTAGTGATATTAATATTTTACCCAGTAAAATTTGGAATAAAATAGAACTTGATGGTAAATTGTCTAAAACTTCAATGAAGGTTAAGTCATTTGGAGGCTTTATCTCTAAACCTTTGGGGAAAACTATTTTAGAGGCTAATTATAAAAAGAAGAATTGTGACATTGAATTTGTAGTAATGAATTGTGACTCATCTCCTATACTTGGTACTGTAACGTATGAAAAATTGGGGCTAATTAAACGAGCTTATACTTTATCTAAAGTTGATGATTTGACTATTAAAAATTTAGAAGATGGAAAACCAGAATTTATTCAAAATAACAAGGATGTTTTTACTGGTCTGGGTAAAATTCCCTATGAAGTTAAGATTACGCTTAGCAATGATGCGGTACCTACTGTGAGGCCAGCGAGGAGATTTCCAGCCTCTCTCAAATCTAAACTTAAAAAAGAAATCAATAGGTTAGTGGACTTAGGAGTAATAGCACCAGTAGAAGAGCCTACAGATTGGGTTCATGACATAGTGGTAGTTGAAAAGAAAGATGGATCTATTCGGCTGTGTTTGAATCCCATTCCATTGAATAAATACATAAAAAGAGAACATTATAGCATACCTACTCAAGAAGAACTAACTGCTAACCTTAGTGGGAAAAAATGGTTTACTGTGCTCGATATGAAGGAAGGGTTCCATCAGTTTCCTCTAGATAAATGATGACCCCATTTGGTCAATATCGATTTCTAAGAGTGCCCTACAGTTTGTCTAATATTCCGGAGATATTTCAAAGGGAAAATACAAAAATATTTGGAGACATAGAGGGAGTGCAAATAATGTTCGATGACATAATAGTTTTGGGCCGAACAGAAATTGAACATGCTAAAAGTTTGGAAGAGGTTATATAAAGGGCCAGACAGTCCAACATTAAATTTAATAGCAAGAAACTCCAGTTGAAATTAAATGAAGTTAAATATTTGGGAAGTAGATGGAATCAAACCGGATCCTCTCAAGGTAAGAGCCATTTCTAATATTAAAGAACCTCAGTCTCTGAAGGAAATTCAAAGATTTTTAGGTGCAATAAATTTTTTGAACAAATTTATTCCAGCATATTCACAAGTCACCGTCCCTCTTAGGGAATTATTGAAAAAGAGTGCTCAGTGGCAATGGTCTGATTCACAGAAGCAAGCTTTCTCTATTATAAAATCTTTAGTTTGTAATGCACCCACTCTCAAACTGTTTGATCCGTCTCTTCAAATCGAGATCCAATGTAATGCCAGCAAGGATGGGCTTGGAAGCTGTTTACTCCAAAATGGGCAACCAGTCGTATTTGCATCAAGAAGTTTTAATGACTCAGAAAAGAATTACAGTCAGATAGAGAAGGAGATGCTTAGCTTGTTGAGATTTTCACGGATCATAAACCGTTGTTAGCAGTGCTCAATAAGAAGCTGTATAAAAATTCTTCAAGACTCCAAAGAATGCAACTGAAGCTATTAAAATATAAATTTTTACTATCTTATATACCAAGCTCAAAAATGTATATAGCGGACATGCTATCAAGAGCCTTTCTTGAAGAAGAGGGACCGGAAGACGTAGACTTTTCTCAGGTGGTTCGTGCCATCAGAGGATATAAAAATCTTGCAAGAAGCCACCAGGGATGATTTCAGTGAACTTAGAAATTATATCAGAAATGCTTGGGAAGGAGTTCATAAAAAGTGTTGGAACATGAAATAAAGGTTTTTTATAGGTTCCGAGACGAACTTTCAGAAAATAAATGAATTTTATTTTATAATGATAGAATTATTATACCACCGAGTCTCGGACGTCACTTCGTAAGCCAAATTCATTCTAAAGCTCATCATGGAATAAACTAAACCGTTTCCTGTATTAAGAGCCTTATGTATTGGCCAAACATGTCCGAATACATTACAGACTTCATAAATTCATGTTCCACGTGTCAAACCTTCCAAAGCAATAAACCTAAAGAACCTCTTATAACATCTGAAATTCCTAAATTTCCGTTTCAAGTTATTGGTATGGACATAGGCGAGTGTAATTCGAAAATTTTTCTGGCTGTAGAAGATTACTACTCAAGATGGTTGGATATTATACCGCTCAAGAATAAAACATCCACTGAAATTATCAAAAAACTAAAAATTCTTTTTAGTAATCATGGCCCGCCTGAAATCGTACGTTGTGATAACAACCCGTTCAGTAGTGCAGAAATGGCAGCTTTTGCTAAACATTGGGGATTTAAAATTTGTACATCTAGTTCTCACTACCCTAGATTTAATGGTCTCTCGGAGAAAGGGATAGGTGTCGCGAAGAAGATGATAAAGAAAGTCTCTTATTCAGGAGGAGACATTTATGAAGCCATTCAAGAATACCGAACAAGCCCCCTTTCTGGACTCGAGTATTCTCCAAGCCAATTGTTGATGGGTCGAAGACTGCGAACCAGGGTGCCAGCAAGCATTGATCTCCTTATTCCCAAAACACCAGACGATGATGTGCGCCAAAGAATGGAGCTTCTAAAATTCAAAAGTAAAAAATATTATGACTCAACTACTCGTCAATCAGAGGAGTTCAAGATGGGACAACCAGTTTATGTTAAATGGAAGGATCGGTGGAAAGAAGGATCTATTACAAAGGTTCTCCCTGAACCAAGATCATACTTGGTCAGAGACCAATATGACCACGAATATAGAAGAAACTCATCCCACTTAAGACGCCTCACCACACCTACTGATCCTCTACTCAACCCAACTGATTCTGATTCTCTACCCCAACTCTCTAATGCTTTATTTCAGGAGGAACAGAGACAGTCTCCGCTTCACCCACAGAATGGTTCTTCACTGCTGTTACCAGAAGGACTGTCAATTTCCAATGATCAAGCTCAGCAGGCATCTCCAACTAGTGAAGGTATGCGCACCAGATCGGGCTGCCTAGTGAAGCCACCGAAAAAACTTTGTGAGGATTAAGGGAAGGGTGTAGTATAAGACTGTAACCTCTATTTATAAATTATAATATAATCGATTACATATGTTAATTAGATAAAGACAAGACAGATGGTGTATTTTGTAATAAATAATGAAGCACACCTACGTTTGTTCTAAAAGTATTTTTATTAATTAATCATACATAGTACAATCAAAATAGGCCTTTGTTTACATTGATAAGGTTGAAAGTATTGTAGAAGATTATTCAATGAGGAACATCTTATTATAATGTGATTTTGTGTTATGTAAATCTATATTTATTGTAGGCTGAACCTTCTAGAGCTGCTGCTGCTGCATCTGTACTTCCACAAACCATTGAGGAATATATTCCACCATTTCAAGACTATCAGTCTGATGACGAAGAATATGATGATAACTTTGACAGTTCTGAATATGATGCGGTAACTACTGTTTTTAACTGAAAATACTAATTTTTATTCTATTTCTTATCACTTAAATAAATGGTGTAAAATTAAATATTTTGACAGCTTTTCAGTGATGAGGATAGTTTATATTCTGATTCAAATGTTGATACACCAGATGAAGAAGGTTCGGACGAGGTTAGTGATCAATATACTTATCTACACTCATTAATACAAGTTTAATTTTAACTATTTCATTTGTTATTATATAAATTATTGTTTCATTCTGATAAATCTCTCCATATTAGTTGTTTAAATACATATATATACAGATAATTTATAATATATATAGATTGCTCTGTAACGAATTACTTCTGAGAAAATCATTCTTTGCTACTCATAATTTTTTTTTGTCATTTGATATGGTGTGTTTGTAAAATTTTAAAACAATCCTTTAAGACACCGTATTTTTGTATTATTAAAAAGTAATTTTTGCCTTTTAGATGAACTCATTATCTATCATAATTGAATTAACCCAAGACTTTGTGGATTCGGGAATTCTGGAAAGTACTGCTGCTCAGCTAGAAGAAGAGCATGGAAAGACTTTACTCCATAGGGCTGCTGAAGAGGGCAGTGTTAGAGCTATAAAGGCGCTGCTTCGAGTAGGTGTTGATGTTGACAGTTTTGACCAGTGGCGTCGCACACCAGCCCATGTAGCTGCTACCAGTGGCAAACTTCAAGCTCTGCGGGCTCTATATCACCATGGTGGTGCTGATCTTGAGCTTGTGGACAACAGGGGAGATTCTTTGCTTCACAGTGCTGCAGACCGTGGTCATACTGAAGTTGTCAGGTTAATTTTTTGTATATCATTGCATTTTTAAGTTATTTCTTTCCCCTAAATGTATGTAAATTTAGTTTATTTTAACTAAGTTAGAAATGTTTTTCTTTTTTTTTTAGTAGCTTGCATAATTTTAAAATGATTTTAAAATCAACTTTCACTTACCTCTCTCTTCTTAGCAGAAAAAAGTATTTTTAGACAAACGTGAAGTGAAAGTAAAAATTATATTTATTTATAATTCATTGTGGGTATTTTTATTTGTGTAAGTTACCTTATATATTGTAATATACACCTTTATTGGAAGTTGGTAAAAATGGTTTAGTAAATTAATGTTGAATGATTAAAAGGCAAGCTAATCTAGTTTTACCAGTTCAGAAAAAAGAAAATGGCTGCTCTGTAGTTTTCCCAGAAAGGAAAATCCCAAATAGGAGGGGGGACAAAGGATTTTGTTTTGGCAAGCACCTTTCCTCTTTTATAAATGCTCAGTTTTTCACCGTTCCTACAGTTTTCTGGCTATGTATAGGTAGGCAAAAGTGGAGAATCAAGAGTAGAAATTTTCCAAATTTTCACTCGCTTTTCCTCTTTTATCTTGTGAATGAATACTCAGTTTTTCATCTTTCTATCAGTTTTCTGGCTATGTAGAGGTTGGCAAAAGTGGAGAATTAGAGTAGAAATCTTTTCAATTTTTCATTCGCTTTTCCTATTTTATTTCGAGATTAAATGATCGATTTTTCACCATTCTGTTTTCCGACTATGTAGATGTAGGTCGAAATGGAGAAATGGTATAGAAAATTTCCACTGGCTTTTTCTCTTTTATCTCATGAATGGATGCTTGGTTTTTTTATTGTTCTAGCTATATAGAGGGTGGCGAAATAGTTTAGAAAATTTTCTGAATTTTTTTTCATTTCTGGCTATGTAGAGGTAGGCATAAATGGAGAAATGATGTCATCTGTAATGGATAATGAAATTTAGATTACTCCTCTACAAGTTTTCTATTGTAGGTAACATTCGTCTAATTTAACCATTTTAATTTTACAATAATTTTCGTATAAATAAATATTACTCATATTTATGTTTGAGATTAGATATATAATAGAAATAAATATAATTTTATTTATGAGATTAAAAATCTAAGTAGAGATAAATATAAATTCATGTTAGATGAATAGTTAGTCTCATGAATAAATTTGTTCAATATTTATTTACATGAAAATTCATATTCAATTAAAATGATTAAATTAGAGGAATGTTACCTACATTTCATGCATGGAAAACATAAAAAGTTTCAAAATTTCATCATCCATTACTGATTACACCATATCCACATTTTCGCCTACCTCTACATAGTCGGAAAATTGTTTGAACGGTGATAAACCAATCATTTACTCCTGAATTAGGAAAAGAAAAGCGAATGGTAATTCAGAAAAATGTTTACACCATTTCCTCATTTTTGCCTACCTTTAACCAAAAAATGGTTGAAAGAGTAAGAAACCTATCATTCATTGATGAAATAAAAGATGAAAAGCATAAGAAAATTTGGAAAATTATCAACACCATTTAGCCATTTTCACCTATCTCTACAAAGCCTGAATATTGTTAGAACAGTGAAAAACTGCTTCATTCTCAAGATAAAAGAGAAAAATCGAATGAAAATTATGAAAATATTTTTCACTCCTGTTTCTATTGGCCTGCCTCTAAATAGCAATAAAATTGTTAAAACAGTGAAAAACCGACCATCTATTCACAAGATAAAAGATGAAAAGTATAAGAAAATTTAGACAATTGTCTACCCCATTTTCGCCAACCTTCACATAGCCAGAAAACAGTGAAACGGTGAAAAACCAAGCATTTATTTCCAAGATAAAGTAGAAAAAACGAAAGAAAATTTGGAAAACCTTGTTTCCATTTTTCTGTTTTTGCCTCTCTATATAGCCGTGAAACTGTTGGAACGGTGAAAAAATTATCCTTCATTCACGAGATAAAAGGGGAAAAGTGAATGCAAATTTGTACCAATCCTGTTTCCTGGCCTGCTTCTAAACAGTTATAAAATTCTTGGAATGGTGAAAAACCAAGCACCCATTCCCGAGATAAAAGAGGAAAAGTATAAGAAAATCTGGACAATTTACTACATTTTCGTTTACCTTTATATAGCCTGAAAACTTTTGGAACAGTGAACCATCAAGCATTTATTTCTGAGATAAAATAGGAAAAGCGAAAGAAAATTTCTACACCATTTCTTCATTTTCACCTACTCCTACATAGCCAGAAAACTGTTTGAACATTAGAAAACTGATCCTTCATTCCCGAGATAAAACAGGAAAAGCAAATGAAAACTCTGAAAATTCATACCATTCATGTTTCCATTGCCTTGCCTATAAACTGTAATAAATTGTTGAAAAGATTGCCCAAATCCGTCCAAAATATAAAATTCCCTGTTACTTTTTGAACATAGCCGACCTTGGGGCGGGCAAATCGGGCGCTTGCCAATTGTTAGAAATGAATAAAAAATATAAAACATATTAAAATAATTAATTTTTGCCTATAAATATAGCAGCTGTATTAGAGAAATGTCAAATGAAATAAAATTAAAATATTACATAATTTAAAATAGCTTAAGAAATAATTTTAATTTTTTAGGGGGGAGGAGGAGATGACATTGCCCGGGAGGCAATGTCTAAGGCTGGCACTGATATCTCATGTATATCAACCTTCAAAAATTTCCCGATTAAATTTTTATGGATGAGAATTCTTGTGCCAATGATCAGCCTTGCTACATAAATTATAAAAACTTACGCAATTCAGTAATTTATTTAAAATGTAAAATAAAATTCATTTTGTTATCTCGAAAAGGAAATGTTAATAAATTTCTTTTCTTTTTTATTTTAAAAACCAAATACTGCTACAAAAAATATATTTTATTTTGTATTTTAAATACCCAAAATAAATTTCCAAATCAAGTAGATTCTTTGAAGTTAGCTAGACCTCTTATCGATAATCAGGTGTCCACTGTATAAACAAGTGAAGTTTTATAGCTTGGCGATTCATAAATAATGTCATTTTTACTTAGTATTTAAAAAGTAAAGTAGCATTCTTCTTTTGTCTTATAAAATCGTATTATGAACCTTCTTCATTTTTGTCTTTGAATTTTCGCTAGTATTTTTACTAACTTAATTAATTTCTTTGGTTTTACAGGTGGCTTCTGCGGCATGGAGTAGATGTGGAAGTGTCAGGACGTGGTGGCTGGAGACCTCTGCATCGTGCTTCACAACAAGGGCATTTAGAAACAGTGAGGATGCTATTAGACAATGGTGCTTGTCCTAACATGATGGCTGATGTTGGGGGTACTGCATTACATCGTGCCGCCTGGTGGGACAAATTGGAGGTTGCTCACTTGTTGATTGCCAGGGGTGCAAATATCGATGTTGCTGACAATAGGTCTGATACTCCTCTTCATATGGCAGCAAAACTTGGCCATCTTGAAATGGTAATAACGACATTGTTGTATAAAAACAAATACTTTTTTTCTTTTTATGTTGTGATAGTTAGATAGATATTAAATAACTTAATTCTGGGACAAAGTCTCTTTAGAATAAGAAAATAGTACAAAATTACATCTGGTCTAAATAAAAACAATAACAAAAACTAAAAAAAAAGTAAAGAAAACATTTGTTAAACGTGCTTTATACAAAACAAATAAACCTACATACAAAAACCTTAAAACTATGACAAGACACTTAGAACTATGTGAAGTGGTAAAATATTATAAATATACACTTTAAAAAAAGTAAATAAAAAAATACGTTAAGTTCTTCTTTAAAATAAGCTCTTTGTTTCTGCAAAGAAAAAAGAAAGTCTGACAATGCCTATAAAATATAAAATGCCTAAGTATTTAAATGATGAATATGAATACTATGTAAATACGTTATAACCATTTCTTGACATAACTATATGTACAAATTTAATTTTATAAAAAAATAAACAATAATTGCATTCAGTGGCATCAAGACTAGTATAATCTTGTAATATCTCCAGCAAAGAATAGTACTAACATTTGATGAAGAATGATATGAAATAAATGTAATGCCAAAAGGTTAGCAGGTATCTGACTGTTTTTGTGACAGGAAATAGAATGGGAGGATTTTGAATGTAAATATGAATATGGAGGGGAAATGCCGAATGTTGATAGGCAGGGAAAAAACAATCAAATGGGTATAAATTTGATCAAATTCCACTATCCATTCATTCAGTACTTATTTCCGCAGATAGTGATGGTGTAACTCCTGAAATGCTAAAATACATGGGGCCGAAAGGAAAAGAAATCTTGCTGCATCTGCTAAACTTAGTGTGGAAACAGAAGAAAATACCACAGGATTGGGAAGTGGCCATCATCGTCCCTATCTTTAAGAAAGGAGATAACAGAGATTGTACCAAGTAAGATTTACTCTAAGTTCTTGGAAAAAAGAATAAGAAGAAGAATCGAAGGATTACTCGAAGAAAATCGTAGCACCCAGGATCTTATCTTTACCATACGACAAGTTTTTGAAAAAGTATTGGAGAAAGAAAAGGAAATGTCGGTGTGCTTTGTTGATCTTACAAAGGCTTTCGATCGGGTGAGAAAATCTGATATCTTGGATGCCTTAAGAGAAAAAGGGATTGATCAAGGTCATGTTCTGGCAGTGGAGAGTCTCTACAAGAAAACAAGAAATATAGTAAGATTTGCCAACTGTACTTCACAGGAAATCAAGACAATTGGAATCCGGCAAGGTTGTAGTCTTAGTCCACTTTTGTTTATACTAGTGATGGACCTCAGTAATACGAAGGGCTAAAGGAAAAATGCGGAAATTTCACCTGCAATAAGCCAACCTGAGATCGGTGAGCCTCTCAATACTTGCATTCGCTGATGACATTGTTATTTTTTCGGAAAGTGGCAGGAATCTTCAGTACAATATTAAATAGATTAAAAGAAGAATTGCAGAAGATTAATATGATTATCAACCCTGTAAAAACGAAAGTAATGAGGGTTGGGAAGAAGCCTAGGAGAAATATGCGCATCATCAGAGTCGAAGACAGAATCCTCGAGCAGGTGGAAAACTTCAAATACTTGGGCGCACACCTTAATGAAAATGGATGCATCAATTCAGAGGTGACTGAGCGAATCGCTGCTGCGAGCAGGATGTTTGAAGCGGTTAGGAGAGGTTTTCTGAACAGGCGCGAGGTGGAAAGGAAAACAAAAGTAGCTGTTTTCAGATCGACATTTCTTCCCATTTTAACGTACTCTTCAGAATCATGGACGCTGACAAACAAACATCGATCAAGGATACAAGCATTAGAAATGCGATTCCTCCGAAAGATTGAGGGGAAAACGAGAAGAGATAGAGTACGCAGCACCACCATCAGGTCGAACCTCAATATTAAGCCGGCCAATGATGTAATTGAGGAGAATCGACTGAGATGGCTAGGACGTCTTCTGCGGATGGAACTGAACAGAATAGCTAGCGAAACCTATCGATCTAAAGTAGATGGCAAGAGAGGAAGAGGACGGTCTAGAAGGAAATGGGAAGATGAAGTAAAGAGCGATTTCCAGATAAGAGGTCTTCAATGGAACAATAGAAGTGTCTTGTTGAAGACTGGCAGAGCTGAAGTAGGCTCTATAAACTTCCTCCTCACACTGCTTAATGCGGTTCAAGAGGATAGATTATGATGATGATATGGAGGGGGAATGCCAAATGTTGATAGGCAGGGAAAAAATAATCAAATGGGTATAAATTTGATCAAATTCCACTATCCATTCATTCAGTACTTATTAAAAATTCTTTCACTTACAGATGCTCAAAAATGTTTTCCTTGATATGCCTATATTTCAAAAAATGGCTTGTTTGATGTGGCCCAAAGGTAATGGAAATTTGGGGAGTATTTTACAAATAGTCTACTATCAGTTTCATCTATTTCCATTTAAAAACTATAATTAACCTAATTATTAAGAATATATGATGAATCACTGGCTATAAAGTGTGGTAGGCAGTGAACTTTTAAAAAAATAGGTATCTTTATACTTTAGTTATAAGATTTCAGATTTTATTCAAAATTTTAATTTAAACTATAATTTGACAGCCATAACATAAGATCTACTGCCTTTAATTTCTTCTAATGAAATTTTCAGGGATTGTGAGTATGATACATAGAAGATCCAATATTGATTTTATCAAATTACCTCTTTTTCATTTGCTTAGGAATGTATTTTTCCTTGACAAGACTATACTTCAAAAAGAATTTTGTAGGTTTTTATTCCCAAATAACAAATCATAGACCTTGAAGTTAGTATTTAATACGATATCATTCTAGTTTTTATTTAAAGATGTTTTTATGGGTGTATCCCAATCTATTCTCTTTAAAAATATATTTTCTTTATTCCTCCCCACTAATTTTCATTTTTGACAATGACTCAAAATATCAGTAAATATTTTCACTCTGTCCAAGTACACATTCTAGGTTTAAGGATCCGTATGAAAATCAGATTTTTAATATAGTTGAGGTAACATGTATGAACTTTATAAGTGTATTTTTCACTCTTATTTGTATATCTTCTTCATAGTGATTCTTGGTCAAATAAAGGTACTATGTTCTATTTTATTTTTCAGAAGAATGAAATTTTTTTTTTCGTTTTGAAATTGGATACTTTCTGTATCTGATTGATAAAGTTAATAGTAAATCAATGTTTAGGTACGACTGTTGCTGGATTGTGGTGCGAATCCAGCCATAGCAGACAGAAGTAATATGACCCCTCACGATTGGGCTCAAAGGAACCGACGAGCAGAAGTAGCTGAATATATGGTTTCGAGAGATGCGGATTACTAATTTTTAAGTGCTACAAACACGTGCACTGTGACAGTGTTTGACTGGCTGTTTTTGTATTATAGTTGTAAAAAAATAAATATGTTATGTTAAATATGTTTCTCTCAGGTGTGCATGATTATTAATGGATTCAGAAGAGCTCAAAGTTTGTTATGTTAACATCAAATCATTGGAAGTAAAACTATAGTTGTTTTATTAGATGAATTATTGTTATTTAATTGAATCTGAATGTTCTGAAGTTTTGAAAAAATACTATGTCAGAAGTTTTGAAAAAATACTGATTTTCATATCAAAACATTCTTTAGGTGAAAAAAATTGCAAATTAGAAAGACTTTGATTTTTACATTTTATCAAATTATAAAAGAATCATTTTGTTGATGTGGTAAAGACTGTAAAATTAGTTTTAAGTTCAATTTTTTTTCAAAAATCTCAATCATATTGATTTCTTATGCTCTAATAACCATCTAGTTAATGTTTCATTCATTATGTGATGTTCTGTTGACATTTCTTCTTATTTTAAAAAAAAAATCTAATTCTTTTTTTATTAGAGGATACTATTCTTTGTTATATAGAATTTCAAATTCAACTGTTGTGTAAAATTTATTGGCATTTATTTTAATATTTTATTGTGCTTAAAAAAGGAATTCTAAAATCTATCAGAAATGTATTAGTGTTTATTATTACCAGGCATTCGCTATGATCACTATCATTTAACCAAATTAATGGAAGATAAATAAAAAATATATTTTTTGCTTAGTATAGGAGTGGGGTAGCTTAGTGAGTTAGGCTGACCGGAGTCTGGCTTTGGCAGGTTGTTATTTATTCTGTCAGATTGATAGCAGGTTGACCATGGACTTAGATTACCTGTCTTGGACACACCCACCATAAATAAAATAGATACCCTTAATTAATTGAAAAAAAACTTTATGATTTAAACTATTTAAAACTTTATGATTTGATTAAATTTTACTATTCAACGAAATGACATTTTTAACTTGAATGATTTCATTGGTGCTTATTATACAGGTACAATAATAGCAGTTCATATGCTATAATGAATCCTGAAACTGCCATATGATCTTAGGTCTGATATTCAGTTTTATGTAATATTAGGTAATAGTTCTGTTTCTAATTTTATGGTTTAGGTCCATTACAAAGACTTACATCTTATCTTTCATCTGTATCTTACTGTTTTTTCTTATTAATTACTATCATTGTACTTGAAAGAAATTTTAGTTGTGAACAAAGTAAAAGATAGTTTAAATAATGAGTGAAAAGCATTTTTAATGAAACATTAAAACATTTGTAGTTTATTTGAATTAATATTTTTTTTATATACAGTCGTCTTGATAATTATCTTCATTAGTAATATTATAACATACTACCCCCCCCCCCCTATGAGATAACAGGTACTAAGTATGAATTATTTTGTAGTAGTTTGTATAGGCACCATATTTTCTCAGCTGCAATGAAATAGCAGTGATTTTTTATGAGTAATATGTATTAAAATTAAGTGTTTTAATAATAGAAAATAATTAAATTAAATTGGCTTTTTGAATGAGAATGGACAGTCAATGTGTTCAATACTACATTTTCACTAATGTAAAAATAAATAAATAAATTGAATTGCAATAACTGTTTTTAACAGCAACGATTGAACAAATACTAGCAAATTTTTTATACAGCATTTAGCTTTAAGATGATTATAACTTACAAAGAATCAGGTTATAAAAACTAGGAGTATATGTCAGGAGTTATCTTGCAGACCAATGAAACATATTACAGAAATCTGGTAACAACTGTGTGTATCAGATTAAAATTATTAAGAGTATTCATACTTTAATCAGGACTAAGAGTGGCCTCTTGTATAATAATTAGAAGATCTTATACCAAAGGTAGTATGTAATGGACCAGTATACATTTTATATTTAAGAGTTATTCAATTTCTAATTTTTTTTTTTTTTGTAACTTAAGTTTCATATACTATGTTATGGTTGTTAACTGAAATTCCTTTATTCAGTAAGATATATCTACAAAAAACAATAATCGAGCATGTACTTTACGTCATTTCAACCTTCTTGAATATTCATTAAGTCATTACTATGGCATGTTTCATAAATTAAACTTATTACATTATACCTCATTGGTTAGTAATTGTTAGGTTAAAGTTTTTATTGTGTTGGAAATTGAACTATCAATTTCTCATTTACTAATCATGATGGTTATATTCAGGGATTCATATTATATAACGGTTCCTATTTGAAAATGTTTTCCATTTTATAAACCATATATGTCTATTGTTACTATAAATCTTATAGGGTTACCAATTTTTTTTTGAAATTCTGATTTAGCTTTGTTACTTACATCTATATATATTTTTTTTTTTTTTAAATGGAAGAAAAGGGGGAGGAGATATATGAAATATTTTGTTCTACAGTAATTCATTTTTAATTTTGTTTTTAATTAGATCTGGGTTAATTGAATATGTTAACTGAAATATTAAGATAACTATATTATTTATGAGGGTATAGTTTTATTTTGGCACAACGTAGTCTACATTAGTTAATAAATTCCTATATGAACTGTTAAATAAAAATATTAGTTATTTGCTAGCTTTATATAAATGCCTTTGAAATTGATATACACATCTGTATATTATAAATAAACATAGTTATAATATATTTATATTTTCATATTTCTTTCATTATAATATGTTTATAAAATTATACATTCAATCTGATGCCTTTTTATTCAATTCCTATTTATCAAGACTTGGTAAACCCCAGTATTCTCAAGTTACAAGTGGTGACGGTTTGGATTGCCCTAAAGGGTAGACTTTTAATTTATGGTGAACTCATGGATTTATATTTTGACTCTCACTATAATAGAATGGTGATTTTTTTGGATTACCTTAGTATGTGAAAACAGTATAGGAGAATGTGCAAAATTAGAGGAATGATATACAATTCCAATACCATGTATTATAAAACAACTTGACTTTTTCATTTTTTTTTTTGCGAGATATGACGTCATTGCGCTGGGGCGTCAAATATCTAAGGTCGGCATTGTGTACAATCTGTTGAGTAATATAGCTGTAAAAGGTCACAACAGGCAGATGCAAAGTAGAAATACAAAAGAGTTTGAAAAATTAAAATACTTCTAAACCAAATGTTTACATTGTAATTCTTAAAAATTAATGTTCGAAAAAAATTGCTCCAACCATGTTTAAAATATATTTATGGTGAAGACATAATAGGAATCTTCAGTTCCTGTCAGGGGTGCTTATCCCCTCTAAGGTTGATGGCGTAAGAGCCTATTCTCCCTTCTCCCAAGATATTTTATTGCTCATCTTTTCTTCAGAACAAGTGAAGGTAGAATTAAAAAAATCGTAGATCGTATACAATTACACTTGCTACTGTTTGTTCCATCGTTTTCCCTTGTCCCTTAAGTGTGGAACTTTTCTTTCTGAAATTTCATATTCATACCGAAATGTGCCCCCACAAAAATTCAAAAACCCTTAGATATGCCCCCCTCAAAAATTTACTTGGTAAAACCCAATATAAAACCTGCTTATGGGTACCCTTGATTCCTGTTTGAAAAAGCGGGAAACTGACTTGTTAACTCTGGGCACTAGCGGATGAAGGATTTAATTTTACCAACGATACTTCGGGCGTCGGCTTTCACTTTATTAGCCCATCTGAGTCTCGGTCTGCCTACCCGCCTTGTGGCGAAGATCCGCTCATCCATCAACTTCCTTAGCACATGTTCAGGCATACGGAGAATGTGTCCTGCCAATTTTCATTAGTCTCACAACATCGGCTTCTTTATATAGCCGCATCCCCTCATCGTTGGATCACATTCGTCGTTCCTGATTAATATTTATTATTGTGCCGAATATTCTTCTCAGCACACAACGTTCAAACCGAAGAAGAGCTGTTTCCTGGGTTCTTGACATTGCCAGCACCCCGACCCATATGTTAGTACTGGTCTGATCAGGGTTTTGTACAAGAGCAGCTTGGTTTTACGACAGATCACTCTACTTTTGAGATGTCCCTGGAGACCATAATAAGCTCTATTTGCGGCCATGATGCGCCTCTGTATTTCAGGATTCATATCGTTATTTACATTAACTTGCGAGCCAAGGTATATAAATTCCGAGACATCTTCAAAAGTCATCCTTCCGATTTCTAAATTTGCCTCTGTGGCCTCCATCCTTTGGGTCGGCCCGCATAAGCTTTGTTTTCTTCTCATTGACCTTTAAACCAATTATCGCTGCTGCTCCATGTAGCGCTAAGAGAGCTTCTTGTATAGCAGCCCTTGTTCTTCCAACCAATGAAATGTCATCGGCAAACCCCAGTAATTGCACTGAATGATTTTTTTTTTTTTTTTTTTGGGGTCCTTCCCTTCCTCGCCTATACGGGATTTTCCCAGGACAGGGAGTGTGGGCGAGGATTTAAATGACTCCCCCGGCACCGGGACGCGAACTCGTGACTATTTTTATGTCTTTGATTCATATGTCAGGTTGCCAGGCAACGGCGGTGCAGTGCACACGCTTTAGCCCATTCGGCCACCCCGCACACAGCACCGAATGATTAAACACCGTTCCATCAATTTGAATTTGGGATCTTCTAATGGCACTTTCGAGGGCAATGTTAAATAGAAGACACGCCAAGCAATCTCCCTGGCGCAGTCTCTTCAGCATTGCAAAGTAGTCCGACAAATCGTCTTGGATTCTGACAGTGCATTACACCTCCTTCACTTGTATCAGTCGCACAAGTTTAGGTGGGACATCCAGGTCCAATATGTGGTAGAGTTCATCTCTTAGGATGCTATCATAAGCTCTCTTAAAGTCTACGAAGAGGTAGTGTGTGCATACATTTTACTCTCTTGCCCTTTCTAGGATTGTTCTAATAGCGAATATCTGGTCGATCGTAGATCTTCCTCGCATGAATCCAGCCTGATATATTCCTATTTCTCTCTCAGCTAATGGAAGTAGGTTCTGA